TTCCCGTAGGCCCCCAACAGACAGGTGCGACAGTTTCCTTAAATAGGGCACGCGCTACTTTTCAGCGAGCCGCATCACTTGGCGAGGCGGTCTCCCTGGCGGCGGTCCAGGTCCTTTACCCTGAACGGGACAACGTACATTCAGAGCAGCCCGCACCTTCGCCACCATGATCTCGGCCGCCAGCAGAGTCTCCCCAGGGAAATCGTCAGGCAGCGGCTCGATGTGGAGCGTCCCGCGCGTGAGGACCAGGGCCCACCACACCCGCACCGTGTCAGAGCCATTCAACTTGAGGTGGTGTTTGGGGCCGCGGAGGTTTTGCGATTGCGCCTGAGAGCCTTTGTTCATCCATCCTTTCCTCCCCTTTCGCGCAAGCGCCATGTCTTGCGCCTTCTTCTGAGTCCGAGGGAGGACAGAGTCGCAGAGGCCACACCACACGAGATTGTCGTAGCACCACTGCGGCCTGTGCGACAGAGATATCACGTGCTTCGCGAAATCCCACCGCTTTCTTTGGGGCAGCAGTAACCATGTGAATTCACAAGGTTTCGTCACGGTTGCAACGTCGGAACCAAAGTGGAACCAAGCAGGAACCTTGTGAATTCATAGGGTTTCGTCACTCTTGCTGGGGCTTGTTTTTTCCCCCCCGAGGTTTTTTCCCCCAGGAGGGGTTTCGGGGGGGTCTGGGGGGCTTTTTTTTCCCCTCCGAGGCTTTCCCCCCGCACCCCCCGGCAAGGGGGGGCGGGGGGGGGGGCGGGGGGCCCGAGGCTTTTATTTTTTCCCTCGGAAGCTTTTTCTTCCCCCTCGAGGCTTTACCACCCCCCCCCTTCCCCCCGGGGGCCTCGAGGCTTTTATTTTTTCCCTCGGGATTCCGCCCCCACCACGACCACGACCGCGACCGTGACCACGACCACGACCACGACCACGACTACGACCACGACCACGACCACGACCACGACCACGACCACGACGACGACGACGACGACGACGACGACGACGACGACGACGACGACGACGACGACGACGACGGAGGATGGAGACGACCCCAGGCGCGTCGGGGGTTCGCCCCGAGCCTAGGGCCCAGCGCGGAGGCGCGGCGAGGGTTCGCTCCGCGCCTCGATCCCGCGAAGCGGGGTGGGTGGCGAGGACCAGGAGCCGCGTGCGCGACGAGCGCACCCAAGGAAAATGGTGGAGAGTTGCCCCCCCCCCTCTTCTCTCCCCCGCCGGCGTCACCGCTGTCCCCCACTTGTCCCAACCATCCTGTGGTGTTGGGTCCTCGTTTTGAAGAGACGGTGCCCCGCGTCTCCTTCCTCCTTTCCTCCTCCGCCTCCTCTCCCCTCCTACCATCCTCATCGTCATCATCATCATCATCATCATCGTCATCATCATCATTATCATCATTATCATCATCGTCATCAGCATCAACATCATGGCCGCCACCATAACCATCATCGTCATCATCACCATCATCGTCGTCATCACCATCATCGTTGTCCTCGTCGCCATCATCGCACGTTTCGTGGCCCCATACGGAGCTCCACCGAAGGTCCCAGTGGGTGTGCCCGCATGCGTCCCGCACACCCATTTTGGCACACCCCTCACACGTTTCGTGGCCCCATAGGGAGCTCCACCTGAGGTCCAAGTGGCGCAGCTCGCATGGCGCCACCGCCCCATTTTGGCACACCCCTCACACGTTTCGTGGCCCCATAGGGAGCTCCATCTACGGTCCAAGTGGCGCAGCTCGCATGGCGCCACCGCCCCATTTTGGCACACCCCTCACACGTTTCGTGGCCCCATAGGGAGCTCCATCTACGGTCCAAGTGGCGCAGCTCGCATGGCGCCACCGCCCCATTTTGGCACACCCCTCACACGTTTCGTGGCCCCATAGGTGGCGCAGCTCGCATCTTTTGGCACACCCCTCACACGTTTCGTGGCAAGGGAGCTGGTCCAAGTGGCGCAGCTCGCATGGCGCCACCGCCCCATTTTGGCACACCCCTCACAGATTTCGTGGCCCCTCAGGGAGCTCCTTTTGGCACACCCCTCACACGCTTCGTGGCCCCATAGGGAGCTCCACCGAAGGTCCACGTGGCGCAGCTCGCATGGCGCCACCGCCCCTTTTTGGCACACCCCTCACACGTTTCGTGGCCCCATAGCATGGCGCCACCGCCCCATTTTGGCACACCCCTCACACGTTTCGTGGCCCTTCAGGGAGCTCCATTTACGGTCCAAGTGGCGCAGCTCGCATGGCGCCACCGCCCCATTTTGGCACACCCCTCACACGTTTCGTGGCCCCTCAGGGAGCTGCACCTAAGGTCCCAGTGGTGCAGCTCGCATGGCACCCCTTCACACGTTTCGTGGCCCCACAGGGAGCTCAGGTGTGATCCTGGACTGCGGCCGCCACGAGGTCGGGAACGGCAAGGAGGAGGACGACGACTGGTGGCTGGAGCTCTATGTGCTGCTTCTCGCGCGCCACGCGCCACGAGGACCTCCTGCTCATGCGGGCGCCGCGCATCGAGTTCTTCCTGGCAGGACCGCCGGAGGGCCTGCGAAAGCAGCTGGAGCAGTTTGCAGCGCGCACGAAGCGGTGCAGGAGGGAGGCGACGGCCCTCGCCAGGGAGCTCGGCTTCACCGAGTTTATCCGCGAGGCCTGACCTGAGGAGCGCCCCCCCCGAGCCGCGCCTTCTCTCGACTGCCCGCATAATTGTTCGGCCTCGCGCCGCGGACGACCCGCGCGCGTCGCTGGGGCCCTCTCGGGGCGACCAGCGCGCGTCGCGGGGATTCCGCGCGGCGCTCTGCTCAGCGCCTCGCTCGCCCGTCGTCGCTCTGCCCAGCGGCCGGAGCCTTGCCCGCAATCAGCCGGCTGGCTAGCTCTCTGTGCTCCGCGCAGCGGACGACCTGCGCGCGTCGCTGGGACCCCTCCGCGGCGACCCGCGCGCGTCGCGGGGACTCCGCGCTGCTCTGCGCCCGCAGCTTTGGATTTTTGGAGCGCGCAGGCAAAGAGGGGGGAAAGGAAGGGACGGAAGCGGGTGCGATCCCCGTGAGGGGCGTGCCGACATGGGCGTCGCGGCGCGCGGGCGCTGCCGTCGGGGCTCCCGCGGAAGCTGCCTGCGGCGGCCACGCCCAGTGTCACAAGTGTTCGGACAGGCATGCTCGAGCCATTCACATTCATATACATTTACACTAGGCGTAGCCAAGATCGCACCCATGCAAATATACTCACTCCCACGCAGACCCATTCACACTCATACTCTCTCGCGCTCTGGCTCACCCGCGTTCATTCTTTCGCAATATGACCTATCGTATTCCTTTGCGTTGTGTACCCCGCCATATTTCGGCATGCCCCTCATGCGGTTCGTGGCCCCATAGGAAGCGCCACCGAAAAAGGTACTCACAATTGCGGCACTCACAACTGCATATGGTTGGGTCTTTCGCCAGGATATTTTTGTTGCGCCAATGGGCGAGTTGGACTCCGAAGCGAGCTTCCAGGGGCCAAGGGTGCGGAAAATCGCGGCGGCCCCGACGACGACGACGACGAGGATTGCGGCGGCGGCGGCGAAGCCGACGAAGTTGACGACGACGACGACGACGACGACGACGACGACGACGACGACGACGACGACGACGACGACGACGACGACGACGACGACTGCGGGGGATGCGGCGTTTTCGGCCTTTCTCCCTCCGCTCCTTCCCCTCCCCCCTCCCGTCCCTCCCCCCCCTCAACCCTGCCTCCCCTCCCCCCATCCACCGTCCTTTCCACAATTACACAATATGACTACTACTCGCCTCTCTCCCTGGATTCTTTGCGGAGAATCTCGGACCCTCATTGCTGCGCTGCGTGTTTTTCGAATGCACGGTCACATATGGGATCTACGCAATGGTAAGGGATGGAAGGGGGGTAGGACGTCAGATGCGACGTGGGCGCACCTCGTTTGTCCGTCCCCGTCCCCCCTCCGGCACCCCCTTTTCTTTTCCTGTTTCGAACCCCTCCTCCCTCTTTCGTCCCTCCTCCCTGGCCGCGGCACAGGCCGCTCTCCAGCTTGAGGATGTTTTGTGGTTCTCACCTTTTCGGCTTCCCGACGCTCCAAGATAGCCGAAGAGGCTCCCGAGATCGCCCAAAAACAGCCCAAGAGGCTCCCAAAATGGCCCCAAGACAGCCCGAGAGGGACCCATGCAGTCCAAGAGGCCTCCAAGACGGTCCAAGATAGCCCCAAGACGGCTCTCAGAAGGGGCCCGCACAGGGAGTCCGAACGAACCTTTCGAGCCTTCGGCCCCAAAACGCCCTTGTGAGACTCCAAGAAGCGCTCTGGAGGCCCCCAAGACGCCGCCAGAAGACCCTCGAGAGAAGCCCCAAGAGGCCCCCGAAAGGTTCCCAAGAGGCTCCCAAGAGGCCCCAAGAAGAAGCCACGAATTACCCAGGAGGCCCCCGAAAGCTCTCCAAGAGGCCTCTGAAAGACTTCCACCACACATCTCCCAACAGGCATCCAGCAGGCCACTGGCCCATCACCCAGGCATGGCGGCCTCAGGCCCACAACCCAAGTCCCCAAGTCCCCAATGATGAGTATGCGGATGAGAGGAGGATGGTGACGATGACGACGACGATGATGATGACTGTGTTTATGTTAATGAGGATGATGATGGTGGTGATGGTGACGATGACTATGGTCCTAGCTAGAACCTGAGCGCGCGCGAAGCGCGCGTGGTTCTAGAATGTATATATATATATATATATATATAGATAGATAGATATGCAATGCGCCTCGGCCTTGTGGCGCCCCTGGCAAGAAAATGCAAGACGCACTGGATACGGCAGTTCTGGCCCGCATTCAAGGTTCGAGGCCGTTGGACGTCCTCGAGCCCTCTTCGCCGCTGGCGTCGCTGCCGCCGCCACCGCTGTGGGCGCCGCCGCCGCCGCAGTCGGCGCGGTCTTCGTGATCGTCGTCGTGGTCGTCGTCGTGGTCGTCGTCGCGGTAGTCAGCATCGCGGGCGTCGTCGTCGGCCCCGAGGCCGCGAGGCTCGCTGCGGGCAGGGCCGCCCTCGAGGGCGCGAGGGCGTCCTTCGAGGATGAGGTGAAGAAGGCGCCTCGGCGCGGGCGCTGGCGCGCGCGCGCGCCTGCCGAGCCCGCCTCTCCATAAAGAGAAGTCGGCGGAAACATAATTTTTCACGTTTCGCGTATCCCACCAGGCCTTTTTCCCCTTCAGCCCGCGGCCCCACCGGCGGCTGCTTCTGAGTGCGGGCGCGGCCGCTGTGCTTTCAGGCTTGCGCGTTGCTAATTTGACAGGCCCGTGGCCCGGACCTCTCAGCTCGGCGACTGCGAATCCGCGTCCGCCCGCGACCCCCGCAAAAAAAATATCCCACCAGCCCATTCAGATGCCCTGCCCTCGAGAGTTGACGGGAAAAGGGACGAAAGGACACATCTAGGGAAACAAGGCGAGCAACCAGGATGAACCGAGAGATCTCTCGGAGCAAGGGGGTGGCCTTGGAAGGCCTCTTCAGGCCATCCCTGGGGGCCGCGTGGGGGCGAGGGGAAGAGGAGGAAGAGGAGGGGAGGTGGAGGGAGACAAGGAGTGTGATCCCTGGTGCTGCTGCTGCTGCTGGTGCCGCTGATGTTGTTGCTGTCTCTGCTGGTGCTGCGGCTGGTGCCCTGGAAGGCCTGTTGGGGCCATCTAGGAGAGCATCGATCAACATATTGGGGGTCCTCGATTTCGGTCCCCTCCCAGGAGCCCTCAAAATCGCCTCTCGGAGCTCACCTGGGGCTCTTTAAGATGGTCTTGGAGCTCTCTTGGGGCTCTTTTTTAGGGGTCTTGGGGCCCTCTTGGGCCCCTCTTGGGGTTCTCTTGGGGCCCTCATGGGACCCTGGAAGGCCTCTTGAGGCCATCTTGAAGGCCTTCGATCAAAGGAGGAGATGGTATAACATTCAGCCCCCCCCCCAAAGAGGCCACAACACCTTGACAAAACAAGGATGTTGGCGCCCAGAGGGCTAGTGGGATAACGTTCAGCCCCCCCCAGATGCCAAAATGTGGCCAAATACTTAACAAAACCAATAATTTTGGCGCCCAGAGGGCTGGTGGGCCAACGTTCGGTCCCCCCCAAAGAGGCCAACATGGGGCCAAAGCCTTAGTAAAGCCAGCGATTTGGGCTTCCTCGCCGAGGCCGTTTTGGACGCCCTGACACCTCGCGAACCCCCCACAGAAGTCCAGGGGAGGGGAAAGCGGAGGGGTAAACCCTTCCCCGTAGGGGAAGAGGGGTCCTTTGGAAGAGGGAGGAGGAATCTCGTTAGACCACCTGCGCCAAGAGGGGTGGTGGGGCTTTTGGCGCTCCGTGCGGATTTCTTGGATCCGCGCTGGGACCCCCCTGGCGTCGCCTCTAGCGCCGCCACTGGCGCGCTCCACGCGCCAGGGAGGGGGGCCCAGCGACGATCCAAGAAATCCGCGCGGAACGCAAACAAATTATGTTATATATGACGTATTTTCTTCTTCCAGCCTCGGCGCCAGATGGGCAGGGACGCGCATCGAGGATCGAGCCTCGAGGTTCAAGGGTCGATGTGCGAGGGCCTGGGGGCTCCCGGATCAAGGGCCGAGAGCGGGGCGGGCTATTTGGTTGCCATCTGGGGGCCTCCGGGAACCTCGGGCCTCCAGAGAGGCCCAAGCCTGAGACATTTGTTTGCAGGGCGCGCGCGCTGGAGCCCGAGCCAGAGCACCGTTCGTGTCGAGCTGACTGTTCACGTGCGAGGAGGGGCCATGAGCAAACAGACTTTTCTCCCTGACTCCTGCCGCCCTCCCTCTCTCCATCCTCCTTCCTCCCCCCGCCCCTCCCTTTTGGGCAGAATCCTCCCTCCTCTCTCCCTTCTCTGACCTTCCAGAGTGCTAGGAAGAAGCCCGCCAGACTCGTGGATTCGAATTTAGATTCGAATGCCCTGGTGATATGTTGCACCCGTCCTGGGATGGCAGAGTCCTCCTCTCCCTCCTCCCCTCCGAGTCCATGTTCTGTGAACGTTATTGCTGCGCTTTTCTGCTGGTGCCTCTGCCAGCTTCCGTTCGCGTCACGCTCAAGCTTGTTTCAGCCAGCCGAATGCCCAACGTCGCCTCCCCTCTCCTTTGGGGCCGCAGCTGACTGCTAGCTTGGGGCCCGCGATTTTTCGGAGTCGCCGAGTACCTCAGCCCTGTGGCCGATCACGCAATCACTTGCTACCTTGTCAACCAAAACTTCGGTGGCGTTGGGAGTGCCCCCGTGCTGTCTTTCATCCTTGGCTCTATCGTCGGCGGTGTTTGTTCGTGCTGCTGTTGCCTTTACTTCACTGGACGGCAGCCTGAAGTGTGGACGGAAGGTTTACGTCCAGTGGCGACGCGGCCAGTCATGGCAGGCTCGCGTGCTTGTGTCCCCGTGCAGCGCCGACGAATGCGAGAGCGAGATTGGGACACGTCCGACGACGAACCAGGTGTTGGCGAACCAGGTCTGGTACGCATTGACGCACGACCTAGGTGTGTACCCCCACTTGCTCTGCTGCCCGCCGTTGAGCGGGTTCCTACCGATCGACAGGTCGGGGCCGCCGATTCGAGGGTTGAGGAGTGGGACACAGCGGGCGGCTCTGAGTGCGGCGTATGGCGACCACTGGGAACCGACAGCGCTCGAGTTCGCCGAGGCGCTGAGCTTCGTGGGCGGGCTGGCCGACGGCCTGAGCAGTTCGTCGATGGCAGCAGTACCAGCGCCAGCCCGCCGCACTCGCGGCAAGCAGGCCTCCGCAAACGTCGGCCCAGTGGTGCCGGCAGCAGTAGCAGCGAGTGAGACCGACGTCGGGGAGGGCGCGCTGCCGTCGGTGGCTCCGCTCGACTGGTTCGTTATGAGGTCCACGGACCACGCCCGTCAAACAGGCTCTGGTCATGCATGCTTTGGATGTATATGCTGTTCCCGGCGACTTCGCGCTGGCCAGGGCTGGCTCCTCGCCCCTCACCGTGCACGCGGTCGACCCTGCCAAACCCGGCGAGCACGGCGAGTTGGAGGCCTGCGTGCTTTCAGTGGTGACGGGGTGCCCGAGGGGGTTCGACATCGACATTTTCGTGAGTCAGTTCGCGCGCTCTCAGTCTCCCCCTGGGTCGGCCGGCCGATCCTTGGCCCGCGGGCCGCGGTCTGGCGCATCACGTTTCTGGCCCAGCAGGTCCACCGCCCCAGGGCCAGGCGCGCGAGTGGACTTCAGCCGCGCGATGCAGGAGTGCAGGACCATGACCTGATGCTGCGCGTCTGGGGCGCTGCTCTGCGCGACCGGCGAGCTTGCTTGCGTGGAGCTGCTCTCCAGGAGGGCGCGGATGGCGGAGTGGCGCCACAAGGGGTCGCATCTTCGGGCGTCAGGCACAGTCTGACGACGTGTTGGAGGGCCCTGTCTAGGGGTGGGCGAGGCGCGCGGGCTGCTCGCGGTCTCGCCCGAGCTGCAGCGGCGCGTCGACGGCGAGCTCCGCCCGGGGGCGCAGGCGCTCAAGGAAAGGAGAAGGGGAAGGTGAAGGAGAAGAGGCTGTCGGCCAGACCGGGCTCTGGCTTGGGCGGCGCAGGGGGCGACGGCGAGGCCGGGCTGCGACGGGGGGCGCAGCGGCGGGCCGAGGAGCGGCGAGAGCTCCAGGCGAAGATGTCAGACACGGGCGAATTACAAGGGGGACAGGGCCCGCGGCCGTGGCCGCGGGTCGGGGCCGCGACGGCGGCGCCCCGGGCGGCCCCGCGGGACTGCTGCCATTGCAGCCGCCCGCCGCAGCCACCGACGGCCCGGTCACCGCGGGCCTGGGCCGCAGCGCTCGCTCTCGAGTTCGCTGGGGTGGGCGCGGGCGGCAGCGGGCCTCCGACGTTATCGCGTCGCTGAACGGCGCGTTCGGCCGCGCGGCCCAGGAGGCCGGTCACTTCTAGTGCCTTGGCAGGCTCAGGGGCTTGCGCGCGCCCTTCGAGTCGCGCGCCACGTTGCGCCTCTTCCCTGCTTTCCCGCGGCAGCCCGCCAGTCGCCTCTCGGCGCCGCCCCGGGGCGCGACAGCGTCGACGCTGGCCCCCGTGCCACGGGCCAGAAGGAGCTCGCCCGTCTGCCCTCGCCCGGCCCAAAGCGAGACCCCTCGGCGCCTCTGGCGGGCGAGGGGCTGGACCAGCGGGCGCGCTGGCGCGCGCGGCTTGCCGCGGGGAACGAGCGCCCCGAGTGGCGCCATCTAGCCGCATGTTGACCAGAGCTTCCGTCGCAGACACGACTGCGCTCAGTTCATTCTCGGCCTCGTCGACGCGGGGCGCGTCGCGCCGGGCCCCCCGCGGCCGCCGCCCCCGGGGCTTTAGCGGCCGGTCGCAAGCAGGTGCGCCTCATTCTGGGCACTCGCGCAGTCGGCGATCTCCCCGGCGCGCCCGAGCATAGCGAGCTGCCCGCGGCAGCTGAATGGGCCAGCGCTCGGTCCGACTGCAGTGGCGAGGTGCGCGTGGCACGGGCCGTCGCGGGCAATGCTTTCAATCGAATGCAGCTGGCGCCTGGCATGTCCGATTTCGTTATCCACCCCGCGGCGCGCCCCCCTGCGCCGCCCGGGCGCCCGCCCGAACTGCGCGTTGATATGGGTGGCAGTCTTTCTTTCCAGCCAGTTCCCAGCAATGCGGCGGCCGATGGGCGGGGCTGGTGGCATCTCGCCAAGGGGCGCCTCATCCGACCAGATGACAGCATAGCATTCGAAGGGCGCGCTGCGCTTGTCGGAATCAAGCATATTTTACGCCGCGTCGTTTCGCATCGTCGCCGCCATCTCATGCCCGTCGGCAATGTGGGACTGGCATTGGCCATTGGGGAGGGGAGGTCGTCAGATATCCACGCCAATCATGTGCTTCACGAGATCGCCGCCCTTAGCATGCCCACCATATCCCCCTTCATCCCTAGGTGGGCTCCAACAGTGCATAACCCGTCTGATCATCCATTCCGCATAGCTCCTGGCTCAGTTCGCGACCCTCGGGGCGACCTCTGATGCGCCGCGGCGACCAGGGCCCGCGGCCCAGGCCTTGGCGGCGACGGACTCGCGGCCGAGATTCATGCCCTTGCATGTTGCCGGCCTCCGCTCGGCGGCGGCCGCCCCCGCCTCGGGGGCGTGCTCCAGGACGACCCCGCGGTCGGAGACGCCGCCGGCGCCGGCTTCTGGGCCGGCGGCGATGGGGGGGCAAAGACGCCGACCAGACCAGCTCAAGCGACTCCTCCGACGCCCGCCGCAAGCCATGGAGCTCTGTCAGCGAGGTTGCCAGGTCAGCCACCTCGCGGGGCTCCTCCGAGCCAGGCGCCGAGGATGGCGAGAGGGCGATGCCGCGTGTCACTGCGCGCGGAGGCGAAGCGGGACGCCGCGAAGAGGGGCCTCGCTCTTCTCCAGCACCAGAAGATCTCGCACGTCAGTCGGGGGGGCTTCGAGCGCGAGTGGGAGGAGCTGCTGACCTTCTGCCGGGCACGCCAGTTGCCTCCGACCGCCGCGGCGACTGCGGACGCCGCCATCAGACGCCACCTCGACGGCTCCTTCCTTGGCGGGCACAACCGCGACAAGGGGGAGTAGGCCATCGCCGCAGCCAGGCACTTCAGCCAGGCCCTGCCGCTGGGCGGCTTTCGATCGACGCCGCGGACCTACGCTGCCGCGCGATGGGTTCAGACGGCCGGCGCCAGAGCGGACGCGGCCGCCATCGCCTTGGCCCGCCCTCTTCGCGGCGGCGGGCCTCGATGGGGCGACCGGCCGCCTGGGGCCGGCCCGGGCCCTGGCGCTGAGCCTGGGGTTGTTGCGTCGGGCTCCCGAGCGACTTGGCGCGCGTGGCGGGGGCCTGTCTTGCCCCGCCGACGCGCGCGTCGAGGCGCCGGGGGCTGCCGATGTGGCCCGACGAGCAAGGGGCGCGAAGCAAGACCGGCAACTTCGACGACGGCGTGCGTCGCAGCAGCGGGATGTCCAGCGCAGGAGGAGAGCTTGCGGGCCGCCTGCGCGCGACGCGCCGGCTAGCCGAGCGACTGCGGACGTTCGACGGGGGCTGGTCTCAGAGGGCGTTCCAGCAGATATACATATTCCTCGGCCTGCCAGGCGTTCGCCCGCATCCGGTTCGGCGCGGCGCGGCCAGCCCAGATGCTGCTGGTGGTCGACGGGGCGATGCCGAGGTGCGCGTGCGGCACCGACATCAGACCGGCTCACCCACCCGTCGGCGCGCTCGGCACGCGCGCTATTTCGCCGAGCTTGCCAAGGCGCCCACGTCGATGGTGGAGTGCGCCGAGGTGGTGGAGCGCCGCTTGGCCGACCTGGTAAGCGGCCGCTGGGCGCCGCCATTCCGCCGGGGACCGCATCTGGCTCGCGGGCGACACTGGCCAGGCGAAGGAGGCGCTGAGTAGGAATGCCGTCCAGCGGCGCCCACAGCTTGCCATGCACCAGGCCATGCTGTTCTCGGCCAAGAGGCCGCCACCCGATGTTTGTTGATTTTTCCTCAGGAAACGGGGGCATCAGGAAAGAGATGCGAGAGAATCGGTTTTCGGGTGTCTCTCGCTAGACAGCAGTGTTGATACTATCCTGCCTGCGATATGTCCTTTTTCCTTTGTGTGTGATTTGCTAATTCAGTGGGTTGGTACAGGCCTCATCCGTGGCGATTTTTTTTTTTGCGCCCCGTGTTCCATTCGGAGCACGACCAGGCGAGGCCGATATCACATTGCCGAGTACATGCTCGGTCGTTTTTCTTTGGGCGCCGTCGCCGACGTGCGTGCGATGGCCCTGGAATATGACCCTCATGTGCGCTCAGCGAGTGGTCAAGGCGCGCGTTCGGCACGGTGTGCCTCCGATCCTTGAGAACCCGCAGTCGTCTCTGATGTGGCGCGGGCCGATGATGGCGCAGCTTCATCCCCGCGCCAGGCTCGCCGTCGCAGACTTTCCTCCGCATGGCACCCGTTGGCGCCAGATTGCCAGCGTCATTGTTGTATCGTCGTTGCCAGGGCCGCCAGGGCCGTTGCTCGATGTCCGGCCTCCCGCATATTTTGTTCGGGGGCGGTGCGCCTGGCGGCGCCCACTGGACTGCGATCGCCTCCCCGTGCCCCTCCTGCATCAATCGTTTAGCCAACCATTGGCGCACACGGAATGCCGCCAGTGTCGAGAGCGTCCGACAGAATCGTCTCGTCAGTAAGATCTCTCAGTCTGAGCATTCACGTTTGTAGAAGTTCGAGCTAGTAAGGTCGGGTACTATTCGCGGCCAGGCACCCAGATGATATATAGCGTTTTGGGCGCAGCTGATGACATGGTCTGGCATCCGAGTCCTGTTTGCATTTCTGCGCGAGTCTCGTTTTAAACAGCCTGGCATGTCCTGTAAGTTGTTGTTGCTCCAGCAGTGGAAAAAAAAGGAGCCCAGCAGCAAAGCCCATTTTCTGTGAATGTGATTGCTGCGCTCTCCTGCTGCTGTCGTTGCCAACTGCCGTCGGCATCATGTTTGAGTTCTTCCTCCCCTCCTCCACCTGGTCATTGTTGTGTGGTTAATGTCTTATTTGCGCATGTGTTGTGGGCGCAGCTAATGAAAGGATCTGGCATTCGACTCCTGCTTGGATTTATGTGCGAGTATCGCTTTAACCAGCGTGGCGTTTCCTGTGCATTGTTGTTGCTTTGGCAGTGTAAAACAAGCCCAGGGTTTATCGGGACATGACTCTGTTATGTTCTCTGCGACGGACCACCAGCTGCACACTTGGTCCTGATGTCGAGGAAAAAATCCTCCTCCGCATCCTCATCCTTTTGCTGCTCCTCAGCATTTTCTATCCCTCCTCCTCCTGTCTCTTAGTCATCGGCCTCCTCCTCCTCCTCCTCCTCCTGCTCCTTGTGACTTTCCTCTTTTTGCTCCTGCCCGTCACACTTGGCGAGTCGTCGTTGCGCGCGCCCTGGCCGGAGGTGGGCTCCATGGCATCCGAGATGCAGAGGCGCTCGGAGGAGGTGAGGGCCCTTCACGACCAGACCGCACTGGCCTACGCCGAGGTCCAGAGGCTGGGAGCCTCGGGGGCTGGGCCTTCAAATGTTTGTTCGAGGTTGTCGGAGCCCCAGTACGTTCGATGCTGCCTTGTTTACACATGCTTTTCCCCCCCAGAGCCCGGAACAACTCAGCGCCCCTCGGCAATCTTCCTCCCCCCTTCCTCCTCGCAGCGACGACGGTGACGACGGCGGCGGCGAGGCCCCTGAGATCCGACGTCGCGAAACTATCCAAACATATGTAATGAAAAACATGACTAGAGCACCTGGCACCAACCTCCCTATCTCTCAAAGATGACTGGAGCACCCGACCCCAACCTCCTTATCTCTCAGTCTCGCGAGCTAGGTGTAATGAAAAACACGACTGGAGCACCCGATCCCAACCTTTTTATCTCCCAGCCTCTCGATCTGGGTCGGGCTGAGAGGACCCTGGGGATCGAGTCGGGGCGAAAACGCCTGGCGTGAAGAAGAGACTGCGACGCCCAGATACAATCGGGACGCTGAAGAAGGAACCCTATTCGCTTTGGAGGGACTCCGTGCTCCTCAATTGTTGTTCAGGTTGCCTGAGGTTTTCCTTCGGTTTTCGATGGGAAATCGAAGTTTGACTTTTATGGAAAAGAGCTGCCTCGTTCCTTATATATCGTTCCTTAGGTCAGCGCCCCAACGAAATCAGCCGGCGGCGACGGCGGCGACGGCGGCGACGGCGACGGCGCAGCGCGCGCCGGTTCGCGCTGCCCGTGCCGCGCCGCGTTCCACGCGGGCCCGCGAGAGGCTCCGCGGCGCGTTGCAGGAGGAACGCCTCGCGCAGGGCAGCGAGATGGAGCGGCTCAAGGCGGGAGGGGGGGCGTCCCTCGGTGTCGGCGCGGGGTCTCTCCCAGTGCTTTCTCCCGCTCGGACGTGTGCATTTACTCTCGGCGAGGACGACACCGAAATATGCACCGGCAAAGGACCTCCGAGCGATGGCAAGTCTCTGCGCGTCGTGAAAAAAGGTGTCGACGGGATGTGTGGGAGGGTGTGGGCCTCTCAAGGGGCCCTGGCCAGGCCCCGGGACTATCCAGAAGGGCGCAGGTCTCGGGCGGGTGGTGATGGGGGGGGAACCCAAGGGGGGCGTTGAAGAAAGGGACCCCTTCTGGGCACCGACTGGCTCCAAAAGGAGCCCTAAGGGGCCTCTTTAGGGCCCCTTTCTTCAGCCCTCATTTGGGATAGCCCCCATTACCACCCGCCCGAAGGTCGGGGCTCACGCAGTGGGGGGCAGCCGGCCTCCGAGATCCACCCGGGCACGGGAGCCGCCCCGAGCCAACCCCGCTCCCCCGCCCTCCGCCGACCCTGGTCTGGGAGCTGTTTCGTGGCCGGCCGGGTTCGCGATAGGGCCCTGGCCGACCTGGGGGTGCGTCCCCGCACGGGATGCGAAGTCGGCCCAGGGAATCGTTTGAGACTTCCGCGGGAGTCCACGTCGCGTGCGCTTAGCGTCCTCGTCGTCGTCGTCGGCGTCGTGGTCTTCGTCACTGTTGTAGTCGCCGTCGCTGTCGCCGCCGTCGGCGAGCTGGAGCTGCGCAAGGCGTGGGGGATCGTCGTCGGGGTCTGTGTCTTGGGGGTCGCGGCGTCTCTTGGGGGAGACCTCTGCGGCGCTCTTTCCAGCAGGGCTTGACCTAAACGGTGTTTTGGCGATTTCGTGGGCCGTTTTTCGTTTCCATTTCGCCCTGCAGCACAGGTGGGTGACGAACGAAAACCACACACCTATACTCTAAAGTGAGCTGGGCGTTGCATGTGAGTGGGAACGAGCGTGCATCCGCGGTTCCTTGGCTCAAAGCGGCCGGCCGCTCAGATCTGACTACATCTCAGCGCGAGGTGCACCATTTGCCATCGATGCCAAAACTGCTTGAAATGGCTCGCCTCCTACTACTGGGACTATCGCTACTACGATACAACAAAGCTGGAGCTTGGCTTCGCCTAAGGCGAAGCTGCTAGTTGGGCCTCCCAACCCCTTTCAAACTTGGTCGCGGAGCTGGCCTAGGGTGGTCAGCTCCCGCTCTACTCCGTACCATCCACGGCACGATCTGGTGGACTACAGACGTGGTGGAACATCAGGGTGCAGTGGGTTTGCGCGGAGGAATGTATATGACTTGACCGCGCAAGAAACCAGCGCAACCGGAAGTTTGGAACGTCATCTAGATCACGTTTTTGTCGGTCGTTTCTGCGTTGCGGCTGTCGTTGGCGAATTTTGCTGGTTTGACGCAGCGCTCTCTCGAAAGGTTGCAGCCTGGCCACTTGCGCGTTTCTCCCGTGGAGATTCCCTTCAACGTGCTCTCGCGAGGCTGGGTGCGGATCGCGCGCGGCAGGGCCTGTCTGCCACAACCCATGCGCGCGCTGATCAGGGGAGGTCGTGGTAGTAAAAATGTGGTCGCTGCGGCATTGCAGCACTATGTTTCAGGCGGCGCGTGACGCCGGTTTCGCTTGTTAGCTGCGCATGTCTTGCATGGGCGGATTGCCCCCGCGCAGCGATGCTTCGCGCGGCGTGGTTGCGCCGATTTTGGGCGACGATGCGTTCGTTCATGCGGGCAGAGCGCCTCCGCGTGGCGAAGCCTCGTGTAGCGTCCAGCATGCCGCCAAGTTTGTTTTTTTCTGGGCTATCGCCCCTCCCGCCCCCTTCCCTTCCAGGCGGCGCGCCAAAACATAGGAATGTCGTTCTTCCTGGTTTGTTCAGCGCTTGCGGTTGCCACGTTCGTTTGGGCGCTGATCATTTGTGGTTCGCCTCTCGCCTAGCCCATTCCCTTTGCCCTACCCTTCCCTCTCATCGCATTGTTTGTTTTGAGTTTTCCCACTGCGCGCATCTCAAAATGGAGAGCCCGGTCGTTTCGTGGAGAGCGTGATTTCGTTGAGAAGTCAAACGCACTGCGGTTGCGTGTGAAGAACCAGGCGCTCGCGTTAATTATGCCGATTTGTTCGCAGTACGTCCCGCGCTCTGCGATTGCGCATGTTTCGGCGCGGTGAGTTGTATAACACCGCCAAGAAAACCGTACTACGCGACAGATCGTCGCCCATGCCCGTGCAATGGCCGCAACATGTGACACGCTGATCCACGTCGCGCGTTCCTTCGTTTTCGTCGTCGTCCCCCCAGTGTTCCGCCCCTCCGTCGTGAGTCCCCTGATGTTTCTGCCTCATTCTGCGTCCGTTGTTTTTGCCTCCCTTGGGTCTCTCACGGGTTACTCTCAGGCCTCATTGGGCTTGTCACGCGGTCTTGTTGGGTTGTCTTTGGGGCCTTTCGGGGCACTCTTGGGCCGTTCTTTGGCTCAGTGGACCACTTCGGGGCCATCGCGGGCCGTCATGAGCTCCCCTGGCTGTCAGCTGGTGCCGTCTGGGGTTTTGCCTGCCTCCATGGCGGTTTCTTGGGCTTGCTTGCGGATTAGCGGATGCAGTGCAGTTGCGGCGGTGACGGCATCAGAGTCGCGTTCAGGTCTCGGCTGAACAGTTGTTTAGCGTTTCCAAGTGGGGTGGCTAGTTGAGGGCCTCCGACGGCCACTCTGGGGAGTTTGAATTTTGGGTCCCCCTGCTCAAAAGAAAGCATGGTGGACGTAAGGAACCCTCGGGTTCCTTAATACATCCCCTTTGGGGGGCCTCGATGGTCCCAAAGCACGAGACATTTGTCGATCCACGAAATTTAGAAAAAGTTCCCCGGGTACCAAATAAGGTCCTTATTTGGGTGCCCGGCGGTCCTACAATTCACGGCCTTAGTTTGGTTCTCGGCGGTCGCAGGTCCCACAATATTCAAAGATCTGACAGGTCCCTCAGTTCCGACATGGCCCACAGGTCTCGCAGATTTCGCAGGTCGCGCAGGTCTTGCAGTCCCCGCAGGTCCCGCATGTCCCACAGGTCTCGCACGTTTGTCGGGCCTTGCAGGTCTCACTGGTCCCACAATTCCCATCGGTCCCACGGGTCCCACGGTCCCACAGCCCCCCCAAGGCCCACAGCTGTCGCAAGTCTCACAAGTCCCGCATGTCCCGCGTATCCCACAGATCCCAAATGCCCCGCAGGTCCAACAAATCTTGCAGGCGCCGCAAGCCTCGCAAGTCTGGAAGGCCTCGAATTCCCCACACGTCCCACTGGTTCAACAAATCCCATCATTCTCACATGCCCCATGAATCCTAGAGGTCCCAAAGGTTCCACATGTCCCACCGCACCCACAAAGCCCACAGGTCCCACAGGCCCCGCAGCTCACGCAGGTCCCGTTGATCCTGGAGGCCCCTCTGGTCTGACAGGACCCACATGCCCGACAGGTCCCACAGTTCCAAGAAGTCTCGCAGGCCGCGCAAGTCCCACAGGCCCCACTGATCCCACTGAACACACATGTCCTACACGCCCCCAAGGTCTTACATTTCGCACAGGCACAGCGGGTCCCACAAGTCCCTCTGGACTCACAGGTCCAGCAGGTCTCACAGGTCCCACAGGTTCTTTCGGGCCACGCAGGTCCCACGGGTCCCACAGGTCCGACGGGTCCCACCAGTCCAACAATTCCCACGGGTCCCGCAAGTCTTACAGGCCGCACAGGTCCCACAGGCCCCAGAGGCCCCAGAGGTCTCACAGGTTTCTCATGTCCCACAGGCCCCACATGTTCCGCATTTCCCACTGACCCCACAAATCCCACAGGTCTCGCAGGTCTCTTTGGCCCCGCAGGTCCCACACATCGAGGTCCCACAGGTCCCACAGCTCCAGCACGGCTCGTTGTCCCGGAGGTCCGACAAGTCTCAAAGGCCCTGCAGGCCCCGGAGGGTCCCGCAGGTCCCACAGGTCCCGCAGGTCCCGCATGTCCCACAGGTCCCACAGGTTTCACAGCGCAGGCCTCGGTAGTCCCACATGTCCTGCAGGTTCCAAAGGTCTCTCATGACACCGTTTGCCGCTTTCAGGGCGCATTGCCAGGTAAGTTTCGAAGTACTGGCGCGAGTAATTGTTTGAGTTGCGCGCAGTGCCGAATGGGCCATGAACGCAAGTGGGAAACGCTGCCCCACAGATTCGGAATCCCGCCCGTCCTGGATGTTTTACGTGAACTTGCGGAGGCGGTGGTGTCCATCGTGGTCATAAGTACGCAGCGTAGCAAGGACACTTGCAGTGACACCTCTGCCCACGCGGAGGCCTCTTTTTTTCGTCCTACATCCCTGCGCTACTACACTCCTGAAGTCCACCCACTTACTCCAAGTGGAAGCTTCTGCGAAGACATACTGCATGGAAACATGCGATGCGACATTGCGAGGCCACTGGATTGGCATTGCCGTCATTGGGCTCGCATGGGTCGCTATCGGGTGCGCAGTAGGACATATGCGCGGCGGGGGCGGCACAAAAAACGGCCGGCCCCATGCCTGGATCAACATGACCACGGGCAACATGACGCCCTCCCAACAAGCTGCAGCCTTGCAGCGATGTTTGGGAGGCCTCGCACGGACCATCGCCATGAGAGCCCCCCCCAGTAGTTGTCAGTTTTAGTGTATACATATAACGGCGCACCGGGTCCGGGGGCCCGGGGCCGGGACCTCGACCGCAAATGTGCACCCCGGGGGCCCCGGAGGCTCGTCGGGGCTTGCCGGAGGCCTCCCCGGTCAGACAAGACGGCCCCAGAAACGCCCAAGACGGCCCAAGAAACTTCCAAGAGGCCTCCAAGAGGGCTCCGAGATGCTGAAGATGGCCTCCAGACGTCCAAGGAGGCCCCCCAAGACGCCCCAAGAAGCCTCCAACATGCGTCCCAAGAGGGCCCCTAGACGCACAAATTGGCCCATTCCCTTCGTAAAACGTACATTTTTCACAAAGTTGCCTTTTGGGCTTTCCGACATTACAGGACGGCCC